ACTATGTATTCAATTTGTTTTAATAATACCCAGGAGTAGAGAAGAAGATTTTCAAATAATTAATGCATTTTCATTATATAATCAAAAGAGCCCCGCCTAAGCACCAGAACCCCTGACCCAGGGGCCATGAATTTCACAATTTTGGTAGAGTCACTCTTGCTTATCATAACTATGTATTCAATTTGTTTCAATAATACCAAGGAGTAGAGAAGAAGATTTTCAAAGAAATAATGCACTTTCACTATATGATCTATATAGCCCCGTCCTAACACCAGAACCCCTGACCCTGGGGCTATGAATTTCACAATTTTGGTAGAGTCACTCTTGCTCATCATAACTATGTATTCAATTTGTTTCAATAATACCCAGGAGTAGAGAAGAAGATTTTCAAAGAAATAATGCACTTTCACTATATGTTCTATATAGCCCCGCCCTAACACCAGAACCCCTGACCCTGGGGCCATGAATTTCACAATTTTGGTAGAGTCACCCTTGCTCATCATAACTATGTATTCGATTTGTTTCAATAATACCCAGGAGTAGAGAAGAAGATTTTCAAAGAAATAATGTACTTTCACTATATGTTCTATATAGCCCCGCCCTAGCACCAGAACCCCTGACCCTTGGGCCATGAATTTCACAATTTTGGTAGAGGGCTCAATGCTTATTACAATCATGTCAACAGTTTGACTGCTTGATGTCCAGGAGTAAAGAAGAAGATTTTTAAAGATTGCATTAATTTTGGTGGTTTTAGCCCCACCCCTCAGGCCCCAGGGGGGCAGGGGCCACGAATTTCACAATTTTTGTTCCCCTTTACCCATAGATGCTATATGCCAAAATTGGTTGAAATTGGTTCACTGGTTCCAGAGAAGAAGCTGAAAATGTTCAAAAGTTTACGACCGACGAACGACGGATGACGCACGACGACGGACGAAAAGAGATAGCAATAGGTCACCTGAGTGACTCAGGTGACCTAAAAATGAGTGACAAAAATTGCTTCCTCTGTTCAAACTGCGATTTTGCATAAAAATATCTAATTATATTTGGCAACTTTTAATCTGTGATGCAACTTGAAGCAGGCAGAAATACCTTTGCAAATAATTTTTTTCTGTTTGACAAATTCATAATATGTGCATTTAAATTGTTTTTTTTGTTAACATTTCAAGTTGTAATTGATTAAATCTGAGTAAAAATAGCTTTCTATGAACCTACAGAAATTATATTTACCTTGTTCGGACGTCAACACCAGGGAAGTGTTACAAGTAGAATTCGTGACCCGGTGTATTGCTTGTCAATTCACGACCAAATAAATATCAACAGGTCACAACTTCCACTGATTTAGAGTTATCTTTCTTTGCCTCCCCTAGCATTCAGTAGAAATTCTAAATGACATTATCAACATATACTTCTGGTATGTATAATTGATTTTCACTACATATAATCATTAGAGCCCTGCCCTAACACCAGAACCCCTGATCCAGGGGCCATGAAATTCACAATTTTGGAAGAGGCACCCTGTCTCATTTAAACTGTGTACTTAATTCATCGGCTTCACACCCAGGAGCAGAGGAGAAGATTTTCAAAGAAATAATGCATTTTTACTATTTAATCATAAGAGCCCTGCCCTAACACCAGAACCCCTGACCCATGAAATTCACAATTTTAGGAGAGACACCCTTCCTTATCATAACTATGCATTTAGTTTGTTTCCTTCATACCCAGGAGGAGAGGAGAAGATTTTTTAAAGAAATAATGCATTTTCACTATATATTCAACAGAGCCGTGCCCTAGTACCCCTGACCCTGCAGCCATGAATTTCACAATTTTGGTAAAGGACTAAATGCTTATTACAATCATGCCAAAAGTTTGACTGCTTGATGTCCAGGAGTAAAGAAGCAAATTTTTTAAGAATGCATTAATTTTTATGGTTTTAGCCCCAGCCCTAAGGCCCCAGGGAGACAGGGACCATGAATTTCATAATTTTGTTCCCCTTCACCCATAGATGCTATATGCCAAAATTGGTTGGAATTGAATCAGCCCTTTCCGCGAAGAAGCTGAAAATGTACAAATGTTAATAAATGACGCATGACGCACCACAGTGGACAAAAAGAGATATCAATAGGTTACCTGTGTGACTCAGGTGACCTAAAAATGGTGCAATTTTTCACTAGCCCATATATTATGACATCATAAATTGCGTCATTATTGTCAAATCCTGAAAATTTCTTCAAAATGGCCAGAAATTAAAGCTGTTTTTTAATATTTTCAATTATATAATAAAAGAACTGTTTCAGAATATTATACTTCAGTTTTTATGTTTTTTTTCGGGGGGGGGGGGGGGGGATGGACTCATATTTCAATTCTTTATTGAAAAAAATCTTTTTTACTCAAATACAACCATTTTTTTCAAGATTCTAGAATACTGCAATTTCACATAGCCTGTTTTGTAGTTCCTGGACTCTCAGAGGAAACTTTTTTAATATAGGAAATGAAAGCACTAAGTTTTTACTTTACATGGATGCTTGAAATATGACATTAGGACTAGGTCAGTTAATTGGTATATGGGCAGTACCATTTTATGGAAAAAGTGAACATACTTCTTCGAATGACCTTCACCAAAGATGAAAATAACAAAAAACAAGAGGCCCATGGGCCACATCGCTCACCTGAGCACATTGGCAAGGCAAAAGCACAAATCAGTTCAGTATTGAAAAGATTCCTGGGGGAGGGGGGGGGGGGGGACTTGAATTTTAAACTACCTGATGATGCTTCCATGTCAATATATAATTTGTTTTAGCAAATGGCTTTGTTGTACATGAGAAGATTTTAAAAAAAAATTCCCATATATTTCTCTGTAAAAATTTGATCCCCCATTGTGGCTCCTCCCTATCCCAGGGGTCATCATTTGAACAAACTTGAATCTACACTACCTGAGGATGCTTCCATATCAATATGACTAAACATAGCTTTTCTGTTCTTGAGAAGAAATTTTTTTCTATATGTTCCTATGTAAAACTTTTGATCCCCTTATTGGGCCCCACCCTACCCTCGGGGGTCATCATTTGAACAAAATTGAATTTACACTACCTGAGGATGCTTCCATATCAAAATGACTAAACATGATTTTCAGTTCTTGAGAAGAAGATATTTTCCTATATGTTCCTATGTAAAATTTTCGATCCCCCATTATGGCCCATCCCTATCCCCTGGGGTCATCATTTTAACAAACTTGAATCTACACTACCTGAGGATGCTTCCATATCAATTGACTAATCATGGCTTTCCAGTTCTTCATCAGAACATATCTTCCTATATATTTCTATTTCAGACTTTTATCCTCCATTGTGGCCCCACCCTACCCCTGGGGGTCATGATTTGAACAAACTTGAATCTACACTACCTGAGGATACTTCCATATAAATATGATCAATCAGGGCTTTGCTGTTCCTGAGAAGAAGATATTTAAAGATTTTTCCTATATATTTCTATGTAAAACTTTGATCCTCCATTGTGGCCCCGCCCTACCCCCGGGGGGTCATGATTTGAACAAACTTGAATCTACACTACCTGAGGATGCTTTCATATAAATATGACCAATTAGGGCTTTGCTGTTATTGAGAAGAAGATTTTTAAAGATTTTTCCTATATATTTCTATGTAAAACTTTGATCCTCCATTGTGGCCCTGCCCTACCCCCGGGGGTCATGATTTGGACAAATTTGAATCTACACTACCTGAGGATGCTGCAATATAAATATGACCAATTAGGGCTTTATTGTTATTGAGAAGAAGATTTTTAAAGATTTTTCCTATATATTTCTATGTAAAACTTTGATCCTCCATTGTGGCCCTGCCCTACCCCCGGGGGGTCATGATTTGAACAAACTTGAATCTACACTACCTCAGGATACTTCCATATAAATATGACTCATCATGGCTTTGCTGTTATTGAGAAGAAGATTTTTAAAGATTTTTCCTATATATTTCTATGTAAAACTTTGATCCTCCATTGTGGCCCTGCCCTACCCCCGGGGGTCATGATTTGAACAAACTTGAATCTACACTACCTGAGGATACTTCCACATAAATATGATCAATCAGGGCTTTGCTGTTCCTGAGAAGAAGATTTTTAAAGATTTTTCCTATATATTTCTATGTAAAACTTTGATCCTCCATTGTGGCCCCGCCCTACCCCCGGGGGGTCATGATTTGAACAAACTTGAATCTACACTACCTGAGGATGCTTTCATATAAATATGAAAATTAGGGCTTTGCTGTTATTGAGAAGAAGATTTTTAAAGATTTTTCCTATATATTTCTATGTAAAACTTTGATCCTCCATTGTGGCCCTGCCCTACCCCCAGGGGTCATGATTTGGACAAATTTGAATCTACACTACCTGAGGATGCTGCCATATAAATATGACTAATTAGGGCTTTGCTGTTCTTGAGAAGAAGATTTTTAAAGGTTTTTCCTATATATTTCTATGTAAAACTTTGATCCTCCACTGTGGCCCCGCCCTACCCCCGGGGGTCATGATTTGAACAAACTTGAATCTACACTACCTGAGGATGCTTCCACATGAGTTTCATCTTCCCTGGCTTTGTGGTTCTTGAGAAGAAGATTTTTAAAAGATGCTATTAATTTTTCACTAAATCTTCATTATCTCCCCTTGAAAGAGGGCGTGGCCCTTCATTTGAACAAACTTCAATCCCCTTCACCCAAGGATACTTTGTGGCAAGTTTGGTTGAAATTGGCCCAGTGGTTCTTGAGAAGAAGTCGAAAATGTGAAAAGTTTACAGACGGATGGATGGACGGACAGACAGACAGACGGACAGACGGACTACAGACAAAATGTGATCAGAAAAGCTCACTTGAGCCTTCGGCTCAGGTGAGCTAATAACAATCAAACTTTACAAACAAATGAACAGTATGTTTTTGTTTTTTCTTTTAAGATGTTACTATACTGTTACGTAATTTAGTTACACACAAAAAGATTACCTGTATACTGACATGCTTTGATTTTACTTTTTATGTAAGTTTTACTAGCCGGATCATCACCAACTTGGACCACACATAAAGCTGGGCTACGCTTGCCAGCTTTCAATAATTTCTCTATTTCAAATTTCACTTCATCTTTTATTTCTCTTGCTAGCTTGTGCCCATCAATCAACTTAGCAGACATAAATCTGAAAAGATAAAATGCACAAACAAACCCTATCTTCTTATACATAATTAAAGACTAGAGTGTTCCAAGGAATGCATGTGTTGCTTGCTTTGTAGCTTCATTAAAGGTGTAAATAAATCTAAGGGTGGTCAGCTTTTTATTTACTACAAGCATAGTAGACTGATACTTCATGCATTTGCCTGCAAAGAAAAACAAGAGGCCCAAGGGCCTTAATGGTCACCTGAGTATAATACAACAATTTAGAGGATTAGAGTATAAAATGAACTTAAAGGTGAAGCTTTGTTGCCCAAAAGCAAGAAAAATAGGGTGATAAGGATCAACAAAATAATTAGTCTAGTATTCATTAACAGTTCATAAATTAGGTTCTAATCTGTTCCCCATTTATCACTATCACCATACAGTATTTTAACAAACTATCTGTGCTTCTGTACTATCTTAATTCCTTGTTGAAATTTCTTACATTGGCCTCTCTTGGACTTTGATGAACATTTAATAAGACAAGTTATTTTTGTCTCATTTTTATTTATCTATTACTTACAAGTCTACCTTATATTAAAACTATGAAAGTACTTTTTGTATTATACAATAATAATTCTTGCATAATTCACTCAATCTTTTAACCTTTCAAGTACATTATTTACAGTGATTAATTATCAAAAGTAAATGGTAAAGGGGAATAACTCCTCCCAGTAGAATATAAATTAATAGAGCTCTGGCCAGGACCAGAACACTTGACCAAATGGTCCAGATGTTAAAAAATCTGGGGAAAATACTCTTCCTTATTAAAACTTTTACTCTTTTTGCCTCTGATATGCCCAGGTGCAGAGAAGATTTTTAAAGAAATAATGCATTTTTACTACAGATTCACTATATTATCAATAGAGCCCCCTCCCCACTGAAAAACACCAGAGCCTCTCACCCTGGGATTAGAAGTTTGCTTATCATAAGTTATCACTTTGTTTATCTGCTTAACACTAAGGAGCAGACAGGATTAATGCATTTTCACTATATTATCAAGAGCCCCACCCTTACACCATTCGCTACTCTGGAAGAAACACTCTTGCTCATCATAACTATATACTTTGCTTCTTTGCTTTTAACCAGAAGCAGAAAAAAATATTTTCAAAAAAATTACTTACTTTGTTTAAATAATACCCAAGAAAAGAGAAGAAGATTTTTAAAGCATTAATACATTTTCACTATATAATAAATAGAGTCCCGCCCTAACACCAGAACCCCTGATCCAGGGGCCATGAAATTCACAATTTTGGAAGAGGCATCCTTGCTTATCATAACTATGTTTTTAATTTGTTAAAATAATACCGAGGAGTAGAGAAGAAGATTTACAAAGAAATAATGCACTTTCACTGTACGACCTATATAGCCCCACCCTAGCACCAGAACCCCTGACCCTGGGGCTATGAATTTCAAAATTTTGGTAGAGTCACTCTTGCTTATCATAACTATATACTTAATATGTTTAAATAATACCCAGGAGTAGAGAAGAAGATTTTCAAAGAAATAATGCACTTTCACTATAGGATCTATATAGCCCCACCCTAGCACCAGAACCCCTAACCCTGGGGCTATGAATATCACAATTTTGGTAGAGTCACTCTTGCTTATCATAACTATATATTTAATTCGTTTAAATAATACCCAGGAGTAGAGAAGAAGATTTTCAAAGAAATAATGCACTTTCACTATAGGATCTATATAGCCCAACCCTAGCACCAGAACCCCTGACCCTGGGGCTATGAATTTCACAATTTTGGTAGAGTCACTCTTGCTTATCATAACTATGTATTTAATTTGTTTAAATAAAACCCAGGATTCGAGAAGAAGATTTTTAAAGCATTAATACATTTTCACTATATAATAAATAGAGTCCCGCCCTAAAACCAGAACCCCTGATCCAAGGGTCATGAAATTCACAATTTTGGGAGAGGCATCCTTGGTTATAATAACTATGTATTTAATTTGTTAAAATAAGAGAAGAAGATTTTCAAAGAAATAATGCACTTTCGCTATAGGATCTATATAGCCCCACCCTACCACCAGAACCCCTGACCCTGGGGCTATGAATTTCACAATTTTGGTAGAGTCACTCTTGCTTATCATAACTATGTATTTAATTTGTTTAAATAAAACCCAGGATTCGAGAAGAAGATTTTTAAAGCATTAATACATTTTCACTATATAATAAATAGACCCATGGAAAGGTGAACTGCCTATATAGGCAGTTATTAGGCAGTTCTTTAGCAGTTTTGCAAATTTTAAGCAGTTTTCAAACAGTTTCAGGCAGTTTGGCTTTTTCTGTTCTTTTGTGACTGCTAGTGCCTTTGGAGTAAACAGTTTTCCTTAGCAGTTTTTAAGCAGTAATCAGTTTTCCTAGCAGTTATATCTTGGTCACCTATTCTTGAGGAGAAGACAGTTTTCCTTAGCAGTTTTGTAAGCAGTTTGTAAGCAGTTTCCTTATACAATTTGATTGGGTTCAAGAGAAATTTTAATGTTGGGCTCAATGATCAACAAATATAAACAACAGGAACCCAACAACAGACCGCCAAAATTCAGTTTTTGGCTGCCATGTTGTATTGTTGGACAAAAGCTATAAAGGATCATGAAGATCGAGTCCCGTCCTAACACCAGAACCCCTGATCCAGGGGCCATGAAATTCACAATTTTGGGAGAGACATCCCGGCTTATAGCAGGAAGGAATACTTTGTTCAAACTTCTGCAAGAAGTAGATGTACATCTCGACCCCCAACCCCCCTTCCCCCATTTTGTAAAAATTTGAAAAATAACAATTTCATTAATTGACATTTATTGTGAAACCTGTTATGCTATGTTATGGATATTGTACTTCAGATGCTGTTATTTCATTTCTGTCAGGATAAAAGCAGGGAATATGCACATTTTACTGATAAATTGATTTTTTTTTAAATTCACAGGTACTTGGGTCTTGGTTTATAAATATGTATGTACCTTATTGATACGTAAAAAATGTACTTTACTTTTTTTTACATCAATAAGGTACATACATATTTATAAACCTGTGTAAAAATTAGCTTTTAATGCCCTATGAATAGGCCGGCTATTCGATACAAAAGACTGTATTCAGAAAAAAAAACTGAAATGTATCGATTAAAGCACAAATATTTTACAGCTTTAATTGTATTTGAGTTTATTATGAAGTACATATTGTACTTCGGGTTAGTTGCCATGATGCTCTCAGTGAGGAATATATACAAATTTTACCGATAAATTTATTAGGAAAACCTACTACATATATGTAATAGTCTTTCAATATATAGATATATTCACAACTTATAGTGTTATCAATAATTTACCATTATTTTAATGACCATTCACACAAAAGTTTTTTTTTTTTATGTTCATGCAGCTATAATCGCCTCGTTTTTCTTTTTAAAGTACCAGTCCATATAAAAATCAGACAAAAGGTGATACATGAAGGTTCTCAGAATTTGATGATTTTTCACACATAGATTTCTTTTGCGCTATGATCCATGTATACAAAATAAAAAATGTTTTGGTTCATGGTTACTATGGAAACCTGGCCAAAGAAATTTCCCTAGCAACCGGCCACTTTTTCCATGTGGTAGGGCGAAAAGTCACCTATCTTTTTTAAAAGACTTGAAATGAAATGTAAATAGGAATAAAATTATTCCTCTTCACTGGTATTATGAAGATACACATTTTAAGTGTTTTAACAACCCAACACATAGATATCAGATTTAAAGATAGTTCTGTGATAGACATTGGAAGATGTACATGTTTTGGATTTTTTGCTGATTCAGCATTTTTCTTGATTTTGGCAATATTCAAGGTCAAATTGAAATTTGCATCTAAAAATTACAGCTTTTGCGTGCATTTCACGTTAAAGTAGAGGAATCTTCCTGTTGAAATCCGAATTCAAACACGTGGGATTTTTGAAAATTAGTGCCCGTTGCCTAGCAACAATAATGGATGTTTTGATAAATGAACAGTGAATCATTGTAAAGTGTTACAAAGAAATATTGCATAAGTTGTTATCTTAGGGTACCAGAAATAAATTTTAAAGTGACAGAGTATAAATCAGACTTCTTGGCAAACTAACGACTATTGTACAGTTACTTATCTCCATGGGAACAGTGAATTCCCCATAGCAACAAGGCGACAAAGCTTAATTTTGGTAGATATTCATGTACAGTAGTAAGAAATGTTTCAAATTTAGTCTTAAAATTGCAATTTAGCAAATTTAAAATGCATTTTGGACCTCATAAAAGTATTTTTGTTACATAAATTTCCCCATAGAATCGATTTTGAGCACATAACAACCACTTGATTACACTGAGTGTTTCAAAGATTCATTCCCTGTAATTACTTCGACTCTTATATATAAGTGGGAGAATAAATAGTCACGGAATTTCTTCAAACTTGCTTTATGTGTTGTCAAAGAAGTAAATAGCATTAACTCATTAAGGCAAAAACGTGTTGTTATGTAACATGGTTACCATGGCAACGTGCCCTGAATTTTGAAAACTAAAATGTATAAACATGTTTACAATTCCATTATTAAAGTTTACAGCAACTTGCCGGTGGAAAGTTGCAAACTTTGACCCATGCTCGGCACTTAGGGCCATTGAGCAGTGAGGGATCTTTTTCGTGCCAGCACCTACTGGGACACAGAACCTCTGTTTATACGGTCTCATCCGAAGGACTGGTCTCCACGTCCCAGTGGGATTCGAACCCGCAACGTAAGGATCAACTCCTTAACTCCGCGACTTTAGAGAGGACACTCTACCACTCCGCCACACCGGCGACTTAATAATAACTAATAAACCATAACATGCGGTAAAATACTACTATGATACGTATCATAGTAGTATTTTACGGCATGTTATAGTTTATTAGTTATTATTAAGTCGCCTGCGTGGCGTAGTGGTAGAGCACCATACATGTATTAGGAAAATTGAACATTTTTCCTTTTCGGTAATCATA